AGCAATTCTGACAAAGTCAGACCCGATAACAAATTTCCACCAAGTTACCAAATCAACAGCATTGAATGTCGTTTTCTATTCTAAAGTCCATGCTTAGAAATGCCAAAATAAAGGATTAATTAAAATTCAATTGAGAAGGGAGCAATCGCAAAACTCAAAAGTATATTTTTCCAACAAGTAACATCAAAAGAGATGTTTTTGCATTAAAAATCTCTAGTACACCTAACTATGCAAATGCTAAAAGTGTCCACCCAAAAAAGGGTTTCTTGTCTTGGTGTGTTTTCTGTGAATTTCAAAAGGCCAAATCTTTAACACTCGTGTCTTAGTTTCTTAGTGGGGACATATATGCAATAATGTGTACAAAAAATTGAGCTAGCTTCTTAGAAACAAATACTCTAGAGTTAAGAAATTCCCATGCTAAAAACGAAAATTTGCAAACACATAATAAGTCCCACAAATTACTTCTAAAAAGCTTAACAAAACTTTATCAAAACGGTATTTAAGAAAAAGAAAATATAATTTCCAATCATATAATATATAACTAACGTTATTTGATTTTCAATCACATGATAAATACAACAAAGTCAAAATTTGTGTTAGGTTATGTTAATTGTCCTCAAAAACGGAAAAAATAAAAATGCTTCAGGTTCATTATTTGCCTTCATTTTCCAGGCCAAAAAATAGACAACCAGAAGATTGTGTGCTTACAAAATTTTGTTCACGCCTAAAAACTAAGACAAATACTTCACAAAATTGTACTATATTTTCGCCCTTCTTTGTAACACTTCCGAGCTCCAACCAAAATCTGAAAGTTCTAACCAAATAGACAATTAATCTTTCACAATCGCACATTTAATATGGTGGAACATAAAAATGAACTAGAATGATGAACACTATAAATACCTAAAATTCCAAGTAATCTTGAAGCAACCTTGAATTTGAAGTCCGATCAATCGTAATCAATAAAGTAAAAACCTAACTGAAGCTAAAGTACTCAGATCTGTGCGTAACTTCAAAAATCAACCTGCAAGATCATAAAGGAAAGGAAATAGATCAAATTACCGAGGATTTGAATTTCCAATCGCAAATTCTAAACTTGAGGACTATATCCGAGGCTTTCAGCTCTTCGAATCAGAAAACAGAAATTCCAAAAGATTCAAAGCGTAATTCAAATTGTCGCGAAGTCTCTCTCTCTCCGTGTCTGTATGTGCGCTTCTGTGTTTTGCTTTATATATAGTCATTTTAAGTTCGGCTAAAATGGCGGCAAACCGCTGTTCCTCGCAGAATTCGAACGGTGACGGGCCAGTTCCCGTATCAACGGTCCGGACCGGTTTATAATTTCTTTTCGAAATGATCCGAAATATATTGTACCTTAGATTGTGAATGTTGTGAAAGAAAACTTCTTGTTTGATCAGTAACAAAAAGTTAAAAAGTATTTTCTTATTTACACTTTTGTTCCTTGAAGTTATTTTAATTACATATTTGTACAATTAGAATGACCCAAACAACTCTAAATTTAAAAGAGAAACTTTTGCTATATGCATTTTTTAAATACCTATAAAACAATTTTGAAGATTTTTTTATTAGGAAAAGGATTTGAGCAGAAAATTGGGGTGGAATCTCTGCTTGAGTGTGACCATAGCAGTCTAAACCCAAGAGTAAAACCCACCAGTAGAGCCTAGACAGCAAAAAATCACGATCGATCTCAAAGTTTGATTTAAGTTTTAACCTAACTCCGGACCGCGCGACTACCAATAAAAATAATGAAAGTCTCTGTAAATCAAACCATACTTGCTAATCTTAACAATTCTAAACAGAGCACATTAAGCCACGAACCAGTCGATAATTGTTATGATCATTTCTATAGATTTTATAGTTTTTTCATTTGATTACTTTTTTAGCACTTTTTAACTTTTTATTTTTAAGCATATTTTTAAAATGATTTCTTACATTTTTTTATTTTTGAGCACCTGGTTTTTTTTTTTATTATGTCAAAACTTAATAGAATGTAGAGTTATTAATATGCATATAATGTTGAATTAATAATTTCCCAAAAATATTGTACAAAAAAAATAAAAAAAAATAAAAACTAAGCAGGAGCGAGTGTGTCTCCACGCCTTCAGGAAGTGTAGGGGTCGCGTGATAGCGAAGGTGGTCCCCACCTATTTGCCAGTAGTCAATAACTACCGCGTGTTCAACCGCCTCACCTTGGAGAAGAAAATATCAGTTTTCGTCTCCACATTATAATCCCTGCGACGAATCAGTACATGTCCTTAAACCCTCCCAGTGGATCCACTTGTTCTCTCTCTCTCTCTCTCTCTCTCTCCCCTTTCGGTCCATTTATTTTCAGTTTAAACCCCAGTGATCTCAATCTCAGTTCTTCAAACTCAATCTAGGGTTCTCAATTTCTGATAAATAGTGGAGAAGATTTTTTGGTTTTTTGCAGAGAGAGAGTGAGAGTGGGATGAAGATTCAGTGCAACGTGTGCGAGGTAGCGGAGGCGAACGTACTGTGCTGCGCGGACGAGGCGGCTCTTTGTTGGGCTTGTGATGAGAAGGTTCATGCTGCTAACAAGCTCGCCAGCAAGCATCAGAGGCTGCCTCTCTCTAGCTCTTCGTCTCAGATGCCCAAGTGTGATATATGTCAGGTATTTAGCTCAATTGTCAGTAGGTGGTGTTAATTTCAGGAGTTTCAGATGAATACACTGTGTATCTCTCTTTTTATAATTGTGTTTGTGTTAATATATGGGAATAATTATATTTTAATCGGAAATAACGGCTTTTTTTTTTAATTAATGGGAAAATATTTCTATAATGTATCTCATCTCATGTAAGACAGTTTTGTTCTCATGTTACTATATAATTATATCATTATGTGGGTTTGTTGGACTAATTGAATGGTTCAGTATCTCGTGTTTTTTTAAATTAACTATTATCCCAATTTGATTTTCGTGGTTGTTTTTCTTTGATCGGTGTAGTACTGGTACAGGGTGGACACTTTAGTCTTCAAAGATGGATGTGGAGTTGATATAGAAATACATTATTTTGTGGATTTAATTTTAATCCAAAGGGAATTTTTTTTGAGGTTCGATAATTGTCGGTACTCCTGTGAGATCTTTGAAATCATATGAGCAGATGAATTTTCTTGCCACACTTTTACTTTGAATCAGTAGACGTCATAAGGACAGTTCAAAAAGTTACCTACGTAATTGGTCTGTTCAGGACTACTGTCTACAACTGATAGTGGAAAGCCTTACACCATACGTGCATCGAATCTCTATTATATATTATTCCTCTTTGGCTTAGGAACTTCAATAAAATCGTGGTGTAAATTATTAATAATGAGCAGAGTTGAGAATTTGTGGCTGAGAACTCTTCTTGTGATAAGTTGTTAAAGTGTAGGTTAAGAACTCCCTTACCCTTTTCACCCTTTTAATGATGTAGTTTATGCTTGCTTTTATAGATAAGCTTATCTGTTTCCTGAAGAAACAATTGAGTTTTTAATCTTCTGAGTGCTGATAAAGAAATAGGTATATCATACAGGAAGCAGTTGGCTATTTCTTTTGTCTAGAAGATCGAGCTGTACTCTGCAGGAAATGTGATGTTGCAATACACACAGCTAATACCTATGTTTCAGCTCACCAGAGGTTTCTGCTTACTGGAGTAAAGGTAGGTCTTGAACCAACAGAGCCTGGTGCATCCTCAGCTCTGGTGAAGTCACCCTCTGTTGAGAAAATGTCAGAACCCGAATCTCGCACTCTGTCTAGAAGGGTTAGTTCAATGTCATTAGCTGGACAATACAACAAATTATTACCTGTCCAAGTTAGTGGAGTTGGGGATTTTGTGCCTCCCAAGTTGTCATTTGCTGGAGGTTCTGGATCTGGAAGTAGTCCACAGTGGCCGTTAGAAGAATTTTTTGGACTAACTGAATTGAATCAGAGTTCTGGGTATATGGATACTGGCTCATCCAAGGTATGAACATCTATACTTACTGTACATTATTTTTTGTGATTGAATGCATTTAGGATCATTTTTGAGCTTCCAGGGGACTTTGATTTTTATGGCATCAATTTGTTTGTGAGTGCAAATAGTTGTTCTTGCCGAATGGCCTTAGATGAATATCCCTATGAGCATTTTTACACTTTTCTGTGTCTGTCTGTCTGTCTCACATTTCTCTGTTCCCTCTCTCTCTCTCTCCCCCTCCCTACACACATGCTTATTGCGCAAGCACCCACCTCTGTCACTCACCCACATAGTTGCTGCATTGAGGTCAATTACCAGATACTAAGGTTTGAGATCCTCTAATCACGGTGGAATATTTTTTCTTTGGCACTGTTAACATAACTTACGGAAATAAGCAGGCTTGCAGGGTAGGCTTTACAAGCAATGCAATGGAAAAATTTTGATTTAACTTGATCTTAGCTGGATCAGTTAATGCAGGCTGCTTTGAGTGTTCAATGTTACTGGTATGATGGTGAATTTGAGTGCCTACTTTTGAAATAGAAAATGAACTGCATTTCAGTCTATGATATTCGACGTTGTGTGCAGCCAATTAGAGCTGGTGAGCTCTCATATAATCTTTCTGAAAGCATCACCATATATAGTGGTTGTCCACATGCACGAGCAGTAGTGACCATACTTGGCTGCATTGATGACTTGCCAAAGGTTGCACTTGGCATGGCTATCTAGGAGCAGCTGACGGGCATTTGCCTAAGATATGTTTAACCAGCTTACTTCCTTTCTTCGAATGGAAAGCCCTTAAAAATTATCTGAAGAAATAGCCGAGGATCTACTCTATTAAAGAGTCCCTGCAATTGAGCCCTTATGGATAAGCTGAAGAATTCGACCTTAATTTAGCCAGAAGTCGTGGTTCACCTTATCAGTGGTCATCTTGCACAGAAAGTTTGGAGGACAAAAAAAATCCTTTCTTGACCTCGGTCTAATGAAAATATGGGTTGGAAGAATCTCACTGGGTGCTAAAAATAACAAATATCCTGCATAGTTGCCTTATTTTTTCCACTACACTCCGTGGTGTTACAAATCTTTTTCGCGTGCCAAAATTGGTAAATTGCTGTTGGAGTTCAGTGAACTCGAAACCAATTTGGCCTTATGAATTTTTCACCTTCTGATGAAAATGTAATGTGCAGTTCCTGAGAAATATAAATAGATTTTTAAAGATGGCTATTGAGGTCCAGTAAGCTAGGCTGCATTTAATTTTTATGATTTTGCTTCTTAAAGTTGCTGCAATAGCGTATTTGGCTTGTGAATTCATTTAAATCTAATTTTGTTATCAAGTTTCTGAAGAATGTTGTTTCCTAATATTTTTGTTAAATCCTGGTTCTAGTGAAACTGGATATCCAAGTGCTACTATTAGTTTTTAATTGTGAAACATTGAGATTAGGGGTCACTCTTTCTGGCAGATGCCTGTGAGTTTCAACCTCATTCCTCCCCTCCCCCCAAAAAAAAATTTGAAACATTTTGTTTGCTATTATTCGGAATTCATTGCCATGTACCTCTAGGTGTAGGTAATAGCCTATGCTGCCTCTAATTATGTAAATTCCTTGCATGAATCTACCAGGCTGATAGTGGCAGGCTTGGAGATTCAGACTGCTCCCCTATTTTAAGAGCCGCTGAGGTGAAACTGGACGGTGAAGAGTGCTTGGGTATGGTACCAGATGCATTGTGGGCGGTGCCACAGATTCCTTCCCCACCTACAGCCTCAGGGCTTTACTGGCCAAAATATGATCGGAATCTGTCTGAAGCTGCAGTCTTCGTGCCGGACATATGCTACTCACAGAACCTTCACCGTTATCATCCAAATGGTACTACTTCAAAACGGCGTAGGCAACTGTAATGTGTCTACTTCTATTTGGTTTCTAAGGGTTATAGTTGCACCATGCTAGATAGTGTGTCATCAGTCTTGGAAGTGTATTTTCATTTGCAAAAATCAATAATCTGTGTGAGCAAATTCTCGTGTGTTGGAGTATTACCTTCATCTGTAAGTAGAACTGTCTCATTTCAGTATATGGTTAATTAGGGTTGTAAAACTTAGGAAATATTTCAATTTGTTCTGAGGTGGCTATCCAATGGTCGATGCTACTGTTAAATTGGATCCTAGGCTTAATTCAGTGGAGACAATCTTCTACTGTGTGTGAGGGGATATGCTAAATCAGTTGGATTCACTAGATTGAATTGTTGCTGGATGATTAGATTGAGCAGTATTGAAGATTTTTTTATTATAATTTGGGGGATTTCAATAGGTAGAACAAGAAACCTTAAGGGTAGTTCAAGTAGTAACAGAGATGAACGGTAAACTCAAACGTCTTGAGTTTGAATTTTGGTAACCCTTTGTGGTCTGACTATGAGGAATAAACCCCTCATGAATACCGTAATTCTAGTGTGGATGATTTGTCTTTAACCGGATTAGAGAAGGGATCAGTCAAGGTGTGCGTAAACTAGTCCAATGTTAAACTAAAAAAAAAAAAAAATAGTTGGAATAAAGTTGCATTAGAAGGCAATTCTAGTGTACTTATAAGAGAGAGTGACTATGTTTTAGTGGCCTAACTTGGGTTGGTCAAACTGAAGTTACATTGTTTGGGATTTCTGGTGCTTGTATTGGATTTGAATAATAAAATTCCAAGAGAGTAAGCAGGTTGAGATTTCGGATTGTTTGGGACCCAGTCCAAACTTGCCTCAATGACTTCACTAATTCAGGTTCAACCTAAAATAAATCCAAATTAAATCTGCATTTTAGATTGATAATCCTATAATCGAACCCAAATCTTAAACTAGACCAAGTTAAATTTCAATTAGAGAATTGAATCCAACTTCGTCTTCAATTTTTAGCTCTGAGTTCGACCAAATTGAAAAGTTAAATATACATAGTACTTGGATTGATTTATTCGGTTTCTGGTTGAGTTTCATATTAAAAATATCAAAATATTAAATATGACAAATATCAAATCTAAACGTTTAGATTTTGGACCTGATTATGGTACCGAAAAATTAAATTACGGTATTATACCGTAATTTATTACATGTGTGAATATTTTTATCGCCGGTGTTTTTATTACTATTGTGGTATTTAAAAAAAGTGATAAAAATAGTTATCACAACAATAGTAAAAATATCTACAACAGTAATAAAAATACTCACAAAAATAATAAATTTTTTGATTATAAAATGATTCATAAAAATTATAAAAATATTATTTAAAATAATAAATTTTAAAGGTATGATACCGAAATTTTTTAAACGGTACTGCAGTAAAATGCATATATTTTTTGTTGTATTTCCCCAAAACAATAACAACTGATTCCCACGTGAGGAAAAAAAAAAATCAGTTGTACGGTATTGTTGAGAGTTCACCCTACAATTTTTAAATTAGAGGCATAAGTTAATCGGCTCAAATTTACGTTAAAAATATAATTTTTAATAGATTTGAATTTTAATACATAAAAAATAAATTTTAATTAACTCGAATCGAATTTTAATTGACTCTAAATTTTAATATGTAAAAAAATTTAAAAAATAAAAAAGGTCTCATTAAAGATACGCCTATTTAGAAAAAGTGTGGATGAAATTTTTTCATATACTATTGATATACGTAAGGGCATTTATGTAAAATGGCCTCTTTCATTAACGTTGTTAGGAGACAGCCTCCGATTAGGGGTGTCAGAAAAATTTCAAAAAGAAGTAGGGGTTGTTATTGAATATATGAATAATTATAAGAGGTGTGAATGAATTTTACCCAATAAAATATTATAATCATATGGATCATGCATGTGTTAAATAAAAGACTTTTGGATCTGTGCATAAAAGATATCGCAAATTGAATAAGAATTTCTTTGAAATTATGTTACGAGATATTTATTCCTGATGAATTTTTTAGTTTTCACGTAAATGACTTATTTTTAATTAAATCAAAATAATAATTAATTAAAATATGCGTAAACTATATTGGACATCTTAAGCATAATACCAAAAAATAAGAACTCTCTTATAAAAATGACCATAGAAGGTTACTAGATTTATGGGTGACAATTTCTGACATGAAAATATGATTCAAGATTGATATAAAATTAGCTGAGAGGTTAACATTTATCATTTATCGAAATGAATCCGTAAATGACACGACTTGTGAATAATTTATATATAGATTACACGGGTTAATATGAATACGATATAAAAATAAATAAATAATTAAATAAATTAAATTAGAATTGATTACTACTCTATACAAACCTATGAATGATACAATATAAAAACATCCAACACAACAAAATTGTCACCTGTAACTAGATCTAGGGCTGACAATTCTTAGCAGGAGTTGTTGTCAACTCCACACAATGAGGTTATGGCGAATATTTCATCTAGACATGTGAGTTATAACTAATTTGATTAGCTTTTTTTTTTTGTTTGATCAAACTACAATCACTCACACTAACAATGTTCGGGTCATAATAGACTTATAAACACACACATCCTAAGATTATTCGATGTGAGATAACTCCAACCCCAACCACCCCAGGGCCCTAGAGACACCTGACTCAAGGAGGAAGGCATCCGAACCCACCACCTGACGCCCCCACTAAACACAAACATGGGTTCTGTTTTTTTTTTTTTTTGATCAAACTACAACCACTCACACTAACGGTATGAGTCTTGTGAGGGCCACAGTAGACCTATAAACAAACACACAACCTAAGCTAGATGTAATTTATAAATAAATCTATACAAATTTAAGTATAAACAATTCATATTAAATTTAGATATAAATTTGACAAAACCAAATTTACTATAATCACTAATTAAATTTTAATATTACACGTTTTAAACATGGTAAGAATTCAATATTATCATCAATCTACCTCTGCTATGTTGGAATTTATATATATATAAGATATGATTCAATAAATTTATTTGACGGTTTTAAATAAACTTATCAACAACCACCAATATCTATCTCAAATTTATTCATATTGTACCGTACTTTTAAGAACGGGTTACCTCTAATATAGTATAAAATAAGACATATTTTAATAAATTCATTCAACGATTTCATCTAACGATCACTAACATTACCTTTAAATTTTCATCATGTCTTTATGCAGAAGTTACCCTCAATTCACTACAATAAAAAATATTTTTTGCGACGATTTTTAATATGTTGCAAAAAATGTACTATTAGCGACGATTTTATAATGTTGTTGCAAATTTCAATTTTGTTAATTTTTTTTGCGATGTTTTTTTAATAATGTCGCAAAACAAGTGATTTCCTCCTAATTTTTTTTAGGAGGAAGAAATGGTGGGAATTAGTTAATTGATTTTTCGCAACGTTTTTAAAAAATGTCACAAATAAATTTTTTTCGTGATTAAAAGATTTAAAAAACACTATAAAATTTATTTTTTGTGACGTTTTTTAAAAACGTCGCAAATAAACTTTTTACATTAATAAAATATTTTAAAAAAAAATTTAATTAATTTTTTGCGATAAACTTTTTAGCTGAATAAAAGATTTAAAAATAAAACAATTTAATTGATTTTTCACGTCGTTTTTTAAAAACATCGCAAATAAACTATTTACCTGAATAAAAGATTTAAAAAAAAATAATTTAATTGATTTTTCGCGACGTGTTTTAAAAACGTCACCAATAAACTTTTTATGTGAATAAAAGATTTAAAAAAAAATAATTTAATTGATTATTTGCGACGTTTTTAGAAAATGTCGCAAATAAACTTTTTACGTGAATAAAAGATTTTAAAAAAAGAATTTAATTGATTATTCGTGACGTTTTTAGAAAACGTCGCCAATAAACTTTTTACGTGAACAAAATATTTAAAAAAAATAATTTAATTGATTTTTCGCGACAGTTTTAAAAAACATCGGCAATAAACTTTCTACGTGAATAAAAGATTTAAAAATAAAATAATTTAATTGATTTTTCGCGACGTTTTCTAAAAATAAATTTTTTACGTGAATAAAAAATTTAAAAATAAAACAATTTAATTGATTATTCAGGACGGTTTTTTAAGAACGTCGCCCATAAATTTTAACATAAATAAAGAAATTTTCAAAAAATAATTTAATTAAGTTTTCACAAAAAAACAATAATTTAATTAAGTTTTCGCGAAAAACGTCGCCGATGAATTTTTACGTAAATAAAAAATTTATTCAATGAACACTCAATTCATCAAATTAACATTCAAATTATCAAATTAACACTCAAATTATCAAATTAACATTCAAAATTAATCAAATAAACTTTCAATTCCATTCGATGAATACTCAATTCGTCAAATTAACTTTCAAATTATCAAATTAACATTCAAAATTAATCAAATAAACTTTCAATTTCATTCAATGAACACTCAATTAGTCAAATTAACATTCAAATTTATCAAATTGACATACAATTTCATCAAATTAACATGTAATTTCATCAAATCAACACCAAATTAATATGTAATTTCATCTAATTAAAATTTAATTTATCAAATTAAAATTCAATTCATCAAATTAATATTCAACTAATCGAATTAACACCAAATTAATATCCAACATCTTCTAATTAACATTCAATTTTTTCTAATAAGTATTTAATTCACTAAATTAACATTCAAATTCAACTAGTTAATATTAAATTAATCAAATAAACTTTCAGTTTCATTCAATGAACACTCAATTCGTGAAATTAATATTCAAATTATCAAATTAACATTCAAAATTAATCAAATAAACTTTCAATTTCATTCAATGAACACTCAATTCGTCAAATTAACATTCAAATTCAATTAGATAACATGATGGCGGGAATTGATAAATTTTAGTTATTAAAGCAAATAAAATAGCGC